CATGAACTTGAAATTTGGTATGCAGACATAACTGTGGTAGGTGCTTACAGTAAAGTATATATAAAGGGGTTTGTAAAAGGGAGCGTGGCACATCCCACCGGTGTGGAAATTTTTATCAGCTATAATTTCACAACCATCAGTCACATGAAATTGAAATTAGGTATGCAGAAATATCTGCGGTAGGTGCTTACAGTAGGCTATATATACATGAGTTTGTAAAAAGCGGCGTGGCACATCCCATAGGCGTGGACAAAGGGTATCAACTATAACTTGGGAACCATAAGTCCCAAGAACTTGAAATTTGGTGTGCAGGCATATCTACGGTAGGCGCTTTAAGTAAGGCATATATAACTGAGTGGAACATCCCATACGCGTGGAAAATTCGGAATCATATGTCACGGGAAATTGAAATTTGGTACGCAGACGTATATATAGTAGGTGCTTATAGTAGGCTATATATAAGTGAGTTTGTAAGAGGGGGAGCGGCACGTCCCATGAACCTGGAATGTTTTATCAGCTATAACTCCGGAGCTATAAGTCGCTTGAACTTGAAATTTCGTACGCAGCCATTTTAATGGTAGGTACTTATATTAGGGTAAATATAAATGAGTTTGGAAAAGAATGCATGGCACATCCAATAGGCATGGAATTTTTTATCAGCTATAACCTCTGAACTATAAGTCAGACGAACTTGAAATTTAGTATGCAGATATATCAATGGTAGGTGCTTATATATAAATGGGTTTGTAAAAGGGGGCGTGGCACATCCCATAAGCGTGGAAAATTTTATCAGCTATAATTTCAAAACCATAAGTCAAATGAAATTGAAATTTGGTACGCAAACGTATCCATGGTAGGTGCTTATATTAGGGTCTTAATATATAAATATCCCGTGTCACTGTGTTCGTTTACGCTAATCTCCGAAACCGCTTAACCAATTTCAATGAAATTTTGTGGGTGGGTATTGTTGGTTCCAACTTAAAAGAGAGGATAGTTGTGAATACGAGAAAAAATATTTTTTTTTCATCGAAATTTTTTCTATGCTTCTCGTATCGTGCTTATCTAATCTATATATATAAAAATGAAATGTCTTTCGTATGACGGCGATGCCTGACCAAACGGTTGAACCGATTTCAATCCTGTAAAAAGCACATTTTTGGACCTTCTGTGTGGAAGGTTCTTTGATTTAAAAAAATTTGAAATTTTTTGTTGTTTTTGCCGAAAAATTAAGAAAGCTGAGAAGTTACGATTTCAGAATTTCATAGAGTTTTCCGTATGTTGAATGTCACTAAACAACTAAACGGCCGGACCGATTTCGTTCATGTTTGGAATATATTTCAGCACCTTGAAGGGAAATATTTCGACTAAAAATTGAATCACTAGGTGGCGCTGGGGTCGGGATATTCATAAAAATTGCATTTAATTGCCGATTTGACTCATATTTAGAATACAATTTATCCAATTGAAAATAAATATTGAAACTAAAAATGTACACGATAGGTGGCATTGTGGACGATATATTCCCAAAATTCTTATCACTGGGATAATGATAGATATCTACTGCATATTTGTGAAAGTATGTATGTATGTGCCAGGTTGCAGTCTAAACGGACGGACAGAATCGATCAAAATTTTGACAGAGTATTGCCATGACCTGGGCCTATAATAGGGTGAAAAAACCTGGGATCCGACAAGGGGGCGTGGCACCTTCCATAGGCGTGAAATTTTTAATCAGCCATAACTTCCAGGCCATAAGTCACACGAACTTGAAATTTGGTATGCAGACATATCATTGGTAGATGCTTATAAGAGGGAATGTATAAACGAGTTTGTAAAAGGGGGCGTGGCACATCCCATAGGCGTGGGACTTTTTATCAGCCATAACTTCGGAACCATAAGTCCCACGAACTTGAAATTTGGTTTGCAGACATATCAATAGTAGGTGGTTATAGGAGGGTATATATAACGGAATTTGTAAAAGGGGGCGTGGCACATCCCATAGGCGTGGAATTTTTTATCAGCTATAACTTCGGAACCATAAGTCCCACGAACTTGAAATTTGGTATGCGGACATAGGTAACTATGGGAGGTGTTCATAGTAAAGTATATATAAATGGGTTTGTCAAAGGGGGATATACATATATGTATTCATTTATTAGATAACTCGGATATTTAAAGCTGTGTTTATTTTTTGAAACCTTACCGTCTTTAGATTATTTTGAAATGGAAAGTTTAAATCGTTTTTTAATCCCGCGATGCTGTTAAATGAAAAAAGATTCATACATAATGAATAAAACTCCTTCCGAATTAAGCATTCTACCAGAAATGTGCAGCTATAGAAAAACAGCCAAGCGAATAGGCAGCTAAACGGAATGTACCGTAGTACACTAATTTTAATTTAGAAATTTTATCGTTACCTTAATCCACCTAATATTAATAATGGAACAAGATTTGTAGTACAAATTATGATCAATATACATTAGTTAAATCACGATAAAGCTAAAAGTATGGCGCATAAGAATGCCTTAATGTAAACAAAGAAAATAGTTTGTCTCCTTTAAATTATGCTGGACTGAATATTTGTATTACTGTTTTACTTTTTTATTTGTTTACCCCGAACGACGTCGGGTGCTCTGCTAGTCTATATATATAAAAATGAAATGTCTTTCGTATGACGGCGATGCCTGACCAAACGGTTGAACCGATTTCAATCCTGTAAAAAGCACATTTTTGGACCTTCTGTGTAGAAGGTTCTTTGATTTAAAAATTTTGAAACTTTTTGNGCGTGGCACATCCAATAGGCGTGGAATATTTTATCAGCTATAAATCCGAAACTATAAGTCATATGAACTTGAAATTTGTTATTCAGTCATATATATTTTAGGTGCTTATAGTAGGGTACNTCAAATGAAATTGAAATTTGGTACGCAAACGTATCTATGGTAGGTGCTTAGCCCACCAGAACAGCAGCCAACTCAGAAAACGCGAAGAGAAAAGGACGGAGAATGGAAACAAGTGACGAACAAGAAGTTAAAGGCGAAGAAACCGGACGGGAAAGAAAACACGCCAGACAAACCAAAATCTCCGGAAAAAAAGGCAAACGAGAAGCGAAAAGGCCCTACTTAGTCTAAAAAACTCTCAGAGGCCGTAGTGATGNATAGAGTTTTCCGTATATTGAATGTCACTAAACTACTAAACGGCTGGACCTATTCCGTTCATATTTGGAACATATTTCAGCACCTTGAAGGGAAATATTTCGACTAAAAATTTAATCGCTAGGTGGTGCTGGGGTCGGGATATTCATAAAAATTGCATTTACTTGCTGTTTTGGCTCATATTTAGAAAACAATTTAGCCAATTTAAAAGAAATATTTGGACTTGAAACTTATACGATAGGTGGCCCTCTGGCCGAGACATCCCCAAAAATTATTTTACGCTAAGAGAAGGATATATCTACTATATATTTGTGGAAGTATGTATGTATGTATGTATGTGCCAGGTTACAGCCTACACGGACGGACAGAATCGAACAAAATTTTGACAGAGTATTGCCATGACACCTGGGCCTATAATAGGGTAAAAAAATTGGGATTCGACAAGGGGGCGTGGCACCTCCCTTAGGCGTGAAATTTTTAATCAGCCATAACTTCGAAACTATAAGTCACATGAACTTGAAATTTGGTATACAGTGGTTGGTGCTTATAGTATGGTATAAATAAATGAGTTTGTAGAATTGGGCGTGGCACATCCAATGGGCGTGGAATATTTTATCAGCTATAAATCCGAAACTATAAGTCATATGAACTTGAAATTTGTTATTCAGTCATACATATGGTAGGAGCTTATAGTAGGGTATATATGAATGAGGTTGCGAAAGTGGGCGTGGCACATCCCATAGGAATATTTTCTCAGCTATAACTCCGGAACTATAAGTCCCAAGAACTCGAAATTTGGTGTGCAGGCATATCTACGGTAGGCGCTTTAAGTAAGGCATATATAACTGAGTGGAACATCCCATACGCGTGGAAAATTCGGAATCATATGTCACGTGAAATTGAAATTTGGTACGCAGACATATCTATAGTAGGTGCTTATAGTAGGCTATATATAAGTGAGTTTGTAAGAGGGGGAGCGGCACGTCCCATGGATCTGGAATGTTTTATCAGCTATAACTCCGGAGCTATAAGTCGCTTGAACTTGAAATTTCGTACGCAGCCATTTTAATGGTAGGTATTTATATTAGGGTAAATATAAATGAGTTTGGAAAAGAGTGCATGGCACATCCAAAAGGCATGGAATTTTTTATCAGCTATAACCTCNAGCCGGCAGAAGGGAACAGCTACGCAGATGTCCTGAAAAATATTCGCAGTAAGCTGAAATCAAGTGATGAAGTCAAGTTGAAGGGAATCCGGAAAAACAAGGGCTGGAGCAGTACTACTGGAGCTAGAGAAGGGGCAATCGGCGAATTCAAGTTTCTGCGAGGTATTAAAGTGCACCCTACGAGAGACCGCTACTGTAGCAGACCTTAAACCAAGGGCCACAGTCGAAATAAGAGACCTCGATTCCTTAACGACAAAAGAGGAAGTCGAAGACTCAGTAAGGGGTATGCTGCAAGGATACGACAAAGCTATGAAGATCAACATCTCCGCTCCCAACAGCACAGAACAGGTAAGGGCCTTCGTCACGCTCGACGAAGAAAAAGCTGATATAATAATAAAGCAAGCAAGGATCAAAATCGGCTGTATAAACTCTAGAGTGCGACTCAAAGAAAACTGCAAGGGGTGCTTTCGATGTTTTGGCCCTGGCCATCTAATCGGGGGCTGCAAAGGCCCAGACAGAAGAGGGCAAGGCCTCTGTATAAAATGCGGTCAACCAGGTCATAAGCTAAAAGAGTGTAATAAGCCACCAAAATGCTGCTTGTGCTCGGAAGCCAAATACACTGAGCTGGATCACATCCCAAGCTCCATAAGATGCTCAGTATATAGAAACTGGTCCAAGAAATGAATGTCCTGCAAGCCAACATGCTCAGAAGTAAAACGGCTGACGCGCTACTGACACAGATGATCACTGAGCGGCATTATGACCTTGTAATCATAAGCGAACAGTATAAGAAAAAAGAAAACGGGATCTGGATAGAAGACAGCAGTGGCACCGCTGCTATATGGGCTCCCCCCGGAAGCAGCATGCACGTCTCTAAAAAAGGACATGGAAACGGCTTCACCTGGGCCAGATACCACCATATAAAAATAATAAGCTGCTACCTGACACCAAACGATAGCATACAAGACTTCCAAGATAAACTCGACGATATCGAAGATACGGCCATGAACTTGGAAGGACCCTTTCTGATGGCAGGAGACCTAAACTCAAGAGCCACGGAGTGGGGGATGCCAAACACGGACTCCAGAGGCAAACGCGTGCTAGAAATGTCAGCCCGACTCGGATTTATAGTTCTAAATACTGGCGCAGCAACAACCTTCCGAAGACCAGGATGCGAGGAAACCACGCCAGACATCACACTAGCATCAGAAGGCATAGCAGGCACCATAAAGGAATGAAAAGTATTGAAAGATTACACTGGTAGCGATCACCNTGTCAGCCCGACTCGGATTTATAGTGCTAAATACTGGCGCAGCAACAACCTTCCGAAGACCAGGATGCGAGGAAACCACGCCAGACATCACACTAGCATCAGAAGGCATAGCAGGCACCATAAAGGAATGGAAAGTATTGGAAGATTACACTGGTAGCGATCACCAATACATCTCTTTTATAATAGACTCCAAAAACGATGGTTTACGAAAGAAGATGCAATGTAGCACTCGCAAATGGAATGTCTCGAAATTAAATAGTGAAGCACTACTATCTGAAATAAATGCGCATGGCTCAGAAGAATCCACTCACAATAACGCAATGGAAATAGTAGAGACTACAATGAAAATGATCTCCAGAGCCTGTACCAAAGCGACGCCGACAATTGAAAGCAATCGACACAAAACACCTGCATATTGGTGGACGGAAAAAATAACTCAACTAAGACGAACGTGCCTCCACCTGAGGCGTACTTACACCAGGGCCAGGCGTAGAAGCGCTGCAATCGAAGAGGCACAACTATACCAAGCTGCTAGAAAAGAACTCAAACGAGCAATCGAGGCCAGCAAGAACAGAAAGTGGAAAGAACTGCGTGAGGAAATAAACAGAAATCACTGGGGTCTCGGATACAAGTTGGTAATCAAAAAACTTGGGGCCATGGCAAAACCACAGAGCTTAGCGCTCAAAAAATTAAAAAATGGACTACATAGTAAGCGAACTCTTTCCCACGCATGAGGCATTAACCAAAGAAATGGAGCCTATCATCGCTCCTCAAGAAATACCACCATTTACCGCAGAAGAGCTCAAGTCCGCCACTAATAGAGTAAAGGCCAAGAAAGCACCAGGCCCAGACGGCATTCCAGTAGAAGTTCTAAAAATAATCGCCACAGAACTCCTTCAAGTGATTCTAAATATGTACAATGCCTGCCTCAAGAACGGAATATTCCCAGAAATTTGGAAAAGGCAGCAGCTCGTCTTAATCACCAAAGGAAAGGGAAACCTTGACTCACCATCAGCGTATCGACCACTCTGTATGCTGGACACAGCTGGAAAACTCTTAGAAAGGCTGCTAAAACCTAGAATAGAAGCGGCTATCGCTAGCGTTGGCGGACTTTCCGCAAGACAGTACGGATTCAGGCCCGGTAGGTCAACAATTGTAGCTATAAAACACGTAACAACAACAGTAGAAGCCGCATACCAACACAAAAAGCTAGTCCTGCTTGCAACCTTAGACGTTCGCAACGCCTTCAACACCGTAAGATGGGAAAATATGATACACGCACTAGAAGAAGTCTACAACATACCCACGTACCTTAGACTCATGGTCAGAAGCTACCTAGAAGGCCGGGAGTTACTGTACCATACCACCGATGGACCCCGGCAAATGACGATTACGTCGGGCGCAGCACAAGGCTCCATTCTTGGGCCAGACCTATGGAACGTCAGCTACGACGGAATATTAAACCTTGAGGTGCCAGATGACACATATTTCGTAGGCTACGCTGATGACATTGCCGCAGTGATCACCGCAAGAGACACCGAAGACGCCCGTCGCAAATTAAACCAGACTATCATAAGAACACAGGCATGGCTCGACTCACATGGTCTTAAACTTGCATCAGAGAAACCCGAGGTAATACTCCTAACCAAGAAGCGTATTCCTTTAGAAGTGAGCATGAAACTGACCGGCATTACATTAAAGACGCAAAGAGTAATAAAGTACTTAGGCGTAAGGCTAGACCCCAGGCTAACGTATTGGGCACAAATGCAGCATGCAGCCGCAAAAGCAGCAAAGGTAACGGCTTACCTAAGCAGATTAATGGCCAATATTGGTGGACCGACCCAAAGTAACCAAAGTAAAAGAAAACTTCTATTGTCCACAACCTTGAATATTTTGCTATACGGAGCGGAGATCTTGGCTGACACCCTACAGAAAAAAGAAACCGTTGCAAGACACTTTCTAGAGCTCATCGCACAGCAGCTTTAAGAGTAGCCTCTGCGTACCGTACAGTGTCCGGCGAGGCAATACTAGTTATAAGCGGAACAGTTCCCATTGACCTGCTAGCAGCCGAACGCAAGAAAATGTGGGAGTTTAAGGCGCAAACGAATCTAAGTGCCAACGAAAGGGAAAGAGTAAGAGACGAGACACTAAGACTATGGCAAGATAGGCGAAATAAACTCTTACGTCACACAAATGCTGTCTGGGCATGGTTACTTTCGCAAATACCTCTATAGAATGGGAAAAGCCGAAGAGCCGTCATGCATATACAGCGACGCAGAAGAAGACGATGCCGAGCACACTTTTTTCAGATGGGAAACCGAGCGCAATAATCTGCAAGACCTTGTAGGACCAATTAATCCAGATAACGTCATCCAAGCCATGCTACATAGCGAAACTAACTGGCAGAACATAGTTAAATATGCAGAATACTTACTTAGAGTCAAGAAGCGTGACCTGGACGCAGGTGCGCCGAGGGAACTTTAGTTATTGAGAAATATGGAACGCCACCCTGAAGCAATGCGATTAGTGGTCCCAGGGTGGGGGACGGTTCCAATTCGGGGGAAGTGTTTTAGTCTCCGGACATATCATTGTTGTGACGACAGCTTTGATGATGCAATAGCCATTTTCGACCCCCTGCCCGCGAAAAAAAAAATGGTAGGTGCTTATATTAGGGTCTTAATATATAAATATCCCGTGTCACTGTGTTCGTTTACGCTAATCTCCGAAACCGCTTAACCGATTTCAATGAAATTTGTGAGTGTGTATTGTTGGTTCCAACTTAAAAAATAGGATAGTTGTGAACACGAGAAAAAATATTTTTTTTTCATCGAAATTTTTTCTATGCTTCTCGCATCGTGCTTATCTAATATACATATAAACATCGAACTCTTCCTAAACGGCTCGACCGATCTTTATGAAATTTTGTGTGTTATATATGGTAGGTATGAGAATCGGATGTAAAGTATATTTCATACCGCTAGGTGCAGGGGGCGTGGCAACTCCCATACAAACCGAATTTTTCATATTGCACATCTCTGGAAGAGTTCATGGTAGACTACTCGAATATGGCATGGAGATATATGAAAACATGTGCATATTCATAGATAAAAATTGCGGTTATTGGAAATGTTACGTGGCACCTCCCACACAAACCGAATTTTTCATACTGCATATCCCGGAAAATATTCATGGAAGNATACCTCTATAGAATGGGAAAAGCCGAAGAGCCGTCATGCATATACAGCGACGCAGAAGAAGACGATGCCGAGCACACTTTTTTCAGATGGGAAACCGAGCGCAATAATCTGCAAGACCTTGTAGGACCAATTAATCCAGATAACGTCATCCAAGCCATGCTACATAGCGAAACTAACTGGCAGAACATAGTTAAATATGCAGAATACTTACTTAGAGTCAAGAAGCGTGACCTGGACGCAGGTGCGCCGAGGGAACTTTAGTTATTGAGAAATATGGAACGCCACCCTGAAGCAATGCGATTAGTGGTCCCAGGGTGGGGGACGGTTCCAATTCGGGGGAAGTGTTTTAGTCTCCGGACATATCATTGTTGTGACGACAGCTTTGATGATGCAATAGCCATTTTCGACCCCCTGCCCGCGAAAAAAAAAATGGTAGGTGCTTATATTAGGGTCTTAATATATAAATATCCCGTGTCACTGTGTTCGTTTACGCTAATCTCCGAAACCGCTTAACCGATTTCAATGAAATTTGTGAGTGTGTATTGTTGGTTCCAACTTAAAAAATAGGATAGTTGTGAACACGAGAAAAAATATTTTTTTTTCATCGAAATTTTTTCTATGCTTCTCGCATCGTGCTTATCTAATATACATATAAACATCGAACTCTTCCTAAACGGCTCGACCGATCTTTATGAAATTTTGTGTGTTATATATGGTAGGTATGAGAATCGGATGTAAAGTATATTTCATACCGCTAGGTGCAGGGGGCGTGGCAACTCCCATACAAACCGAATTTTTCATATTGCACATCTCTGGAAGAGTTCATGGTAGACTACTCGAATATGGCATGGAGATATATGAAAACATGTGCATATTCATAGATAAAAATTGCGGTTATTGGAAATGTTACGTGGCACCTCCCACACAAACCGAATTTTTCATACTGCATATCCCGGAAAATATTCATGGAAGAGATCTCGAACTTGGTATGGAGATATATGAAAGCAATCGCATACTCATGAAGATAAATTGTGGTTATCGGAAAAGGAGGCGTGGCACTTCCCATACACATCGAATTTTTCATACTGCATATCTCTGAATGTTTTCATGGAAGAGTACTGGAACTTGGTATGTACAAGATATACAAAACGCGACTGGTCATGAAGAAAAGTTGGGGCTATTGGAAAAAGGGACGTGCCACCTCCCATGGTAAATTACTCGAAAATGGTATAGAGATATATGAAATCAATCCCATGCTCTTAGAGAAAATTGGAGTTATTTGAAAAGGGGACATGACGCCTTTCAAACGCACTGANCATAGTTAAATATGCAGAATACTTACTTAGAGTCAAGAAGCGTGACCTGGACGCAGGTGCGCCGAGGGAACTTTAGTTATTGAGAAATATGGAACGCCACCCTGAAGCAATGCGATTAGTGGTCCCAGGGTGGGGGACGGTTCCAATTCGGGGGAAGTGTTTTAGTCTCCGGACATATCATTGTTGTGACGACAGCTTTGATGATGCAATAGCCATTTTCGACCCCCTGCCCGCGAAAAAAAAAATGGTAGGTGCTTATATTAGGGTCTTAATATATAAATATCCCGTGTCACTGTGTTCGTTTACGCTAATCTCCGAAACCGCTTAACCGATTTCAATGAAATTTGTGAGTGTGTATTGTTGGTTCCAACTTAAAAAATAGGATAGTTGTGAACACGAGAAAAAATATTTTTTTTTCATCGAAATTTTTTCTATGCTTCTCGCATCGTGCTTATCTAATATACATATAAACATCGAACTCTTCCTAAACGGCTCGACCGATCTTTATGAAATTTTGTGTGTTATATATGGTAGGTATGAGAATCGGATGTAAAGTATATTTCATACCGCTAGGTGCAGGGGGCGTGGCAACTCCCATACAAACCGAATTTTTCATATTGCACATCTCTGGAAGAGTTCATGGTAGACTACTCGAATATGGCATGGAGATATATGAAAACATGTGCATATTCATAGATAAAAATTGCGGTTATTGGAAATGTTACGTGGCACCTCCCACACAAACCGAATTTTTCATACTGCATATCCCGGAAAATATTCATGGAAGAGATCTCGAACTTGGTATGGAGATATATGAAAGCAATCGCATACTCATGAAGATAAATTGTGGTTATCGGAAAAGGAGGCGTGGCACTTCCCATACACATCGAATTTTTCATACTGCATATCTCTGAATGTTTTCATGGAAGAGTACTGGAACTTGGTATGTACAAGATATACAAAACGCGACTGGTCATGAAGAAAAGTTGGGGCTATTGGAAAAAGGGACGTGCCACCTCCCATGGTAAATTACTCGAAAATGGTATAGAGATATATGAAATCAATCCCATGCTCTTAGAGAAAATTGGAG